AGAAATCGTGGGTTTATCTAATACAGCTGTCCCTTAGGAAGACCCCAGACCTCACGTGACAATGCTGGGATTCCCATCTGGGATTTAAGGAATAGTTTTCAATACTGAATCAGTTGCTGACCTGGGGGGGGGCGGGGGCGGGCGGCGATGACTGAGCCCTTTTCCCAGAAAAATCTGATTTAAGTGGGTTGGACCTAAATCGAAATATATATATAAAAAATTTCTAAACAGTTTTATTGGCATGCAATTCCCATACAAGTGAATGGTTTAAAGATTTTAAAAAGAGTTGTGCGGTCATCATCACAATCCACTTGAGAAAATTTTCTTCTTTCTTATGCTCATTATGAGCTCCCATTTCTCCCTAACCTTCCCTGCCAAACCTTGAGGAACTATTAATAAAGTTACTAATAAATACCACAAAATAAACCAGAAAACTTCATTCAAAAAGAATAGGGGAAAGTAACCCAGTCCCCAAGGAGTCCTGAAAATAGACTTCTGACTTGGGGGACAGGGCTTGGCACCTCATCAGACTTGATTGGAAAACATACATAAGGCTCAGCAGACAGACCTGGAACTACCTTTTTTTGGGGGGGTGTTGGGGTGTTGTTCTGTATTGTTTTTGTTCTCCTTTCACCCTATGTCTACCTACATAAGATAGGCAGAAGGAACAATATGAGAAAATAAGGGCACCAGCAGTTCTGGGGGGGACATGGGAGAGAAGAAGGCAGGGAGGGGGAACAGAAGCCAACAAACTCAGGGATACGGGAACAACAGAGATCTAAAATCGATGGCGAGGGTGTATAGTGCCTGGTGGGGTTTGATCAAGTGCAATGTATCCAAGAGGAATTACTGAGAGATGAATGGAGGGTGAACATGATAGTGGGATAGGAGGAAGGTAGAAGGAAATAGTGGAAAGAAATAGGAGGCAAAAGTTATTTATAGAGGTATAACTATAGGCATGTATATATGTAAATATATTAATTTATAATGAAAGGGATAACGGCCAATGTACATATATTTATATGTTAAGTATCAAGATCGCAGATGGACTTTGGGCCTCTGCTCAAGGCCTCCCTTAACACAAGAACACTTTGTTCTAATAACCTGGCACTCTTTGATACTCTTCTTCCCAAAACGATCGCAGAAGACAAAATGGGTGCATAAGCAAATGTGGTAAAGAAAATGGATCGTGCCCAGCTATCACAAGACAAAGCGTCTGGGCTATTAAAGGATTACAGTTAAAGAAGCAGCCATCTAACAGGGAGGCCAATAAACCCACATGGAAGAAGCACACCAGCCTGTGTGATCATGAGGTATCGATGGGATCTGGTATCAGGTATAAAAAAACCTAAAACAAAAAATTATATCAA